TGTAGGCTAAAAGACCCTGTTGACCCAATTAAACAAAATAATATAATTTACAAAATACCTTGCAATGACTGTGAGGTCAACTACATAGGTCAAACTAGTAGATCGGGGGTAATCAGATTGTCGGAACATAAGAATTTAGCTAAGGTAAGAATGGTTGACCCCGAGAAGATAAGTAATTTAGAAAAATCTCAGCAATTGCACTGCATGCATTAACACACAACCACACAATAGGGTGGGAGAGGGTTAAGATTCTAAGAAGTAATCTATGTAGGTGGAGAGAGAGACTGATTACTGAATCCTGGTTCATCGAGTGAATCTACACCCAACACATGCAACAGAAATGACTCAATGCAAATACCAGAGATATGGAAGATATTATTACCACCAGTCAGTCAAATCAGAGGAGGATAATAAATAATCTTAAAATTCTATTTCAATTCAAGTACATCACAACATTCTAACAAGTTGCTTATTATGACTATAAAATCACTCGTCTTATTTCCCATGTGATTGTATTTGATCAATAACACTCATATTATTATTTCTGAATGTACGTTATCCCATGTTGATTTTATTCAAATGTCTAATCATCAATTCCACTCATGAATATAAATGAAGCAAGAAAGTTGTGTGAGTGACTTGATATGATTATGAGCAGCAATAAATAGTGCTCAAAACGTCATCAGTTAATATTACTGTATAACACACACTGTGTGATTTATCAAAATAAAATCTTATCTATAATGGAGTTATGCTCTCCCACAGTGCTCAAGTTTTATACTTATATCATCTTTTTGTGCATGAGATTTCCTTGGTATCTGCAGAGACAGCGGAAGTTGTAAGACTCTCCCACTCTTTTAACTATACATCATAGGAGACATTCTTTCTATCCGAAGATGAGGCAGGCAGTAACTCATCGAAGAAGACATTGCGAAATAGTCGCGCTATGTCGTGCGTGAATTGGCAGAAGTTAGAATTCATGGGCTGGCTGGGCCATTGGATCGGCTTCCAGTGTCTCAATGGTCTATAAGCTAGCTCGCTGGCCTTGTAACCAGAAGGTCCTGGGTTCGAACCCCTGTGCAGTAGGTGCGTACTGCTGAAGCAGAGTCCCAAACAAGGCTGAGGAAACAGCTGGCTGTCCAGTACTCCCTGGCAGGTTTTCCAATGGTTCTCCTGACTGAGGTCAGCTCATGACGAAATCCTGCATGCAATGAGATACCATAAATGGTAACAAGAAAGCAAGCATGTATGCATAGAATTACATACTACTACTGATTGATTGAAATAAGTAGTTTGTATACCACTTACTCATATCAACCAACACCAGTAACAGTCAGATCGAAGTGATCCAAACACACACACACACCCGTGGACATCCGTTTCACTGGTTAGGTGAGCGTTGGGGCAAGCTTATCAGGCGAGCGCGGCGCGGTATGCCCGAACTCGTTTACTACTCAGGGCCAGAAAGCTGAATATCTGTTCAAACCACCCAATTTTCGGCCATAAATCAAATTCGCAATTGACACAGTTCAAGGAGGTGAAAAATTGATCCTAAATTTCCTTTGGAAACCTATGTCAGCCAACTTTGATCATCGAGGAAGGCGGTGAAGGCTGTCTGCATGCGTTACAGACATGTCCTAACCATCTCAATCGATGCATAAATTCACAACCACCTCATTGGTTGACTTCGGCTTTACGTACCTAAATACACTATACACTTAATCTCAGTATTGCTCACAAATATGTCCTGGTCTTCTACCATGATTCAGTGGTGTTCAGGGGTGGAACGCTCACTAACCACGCCGCCGCAAGTGCTCCAGGGTTCGATTCCCTCAGCCGACGCATTCCTTGTGTCTTCGCTTAGCCGGTGGTATAGTAAGACCTGTAAAGAGCGTAGGTTGGGCATGAGTGAGGCTATCAGCCCCCATAGTCCCACAGAAAATAAACAGCACTGCTAGTTCAAGTTGAAAGTTCTCTGTGTTCCGCTCAGAGCGCAATGGAATAAAATAAAGAAATTGGTTGGAGGATTTCATCATGAGCTGACATCAGTTAGAGAACCATTGGAAAACCACCCGATGGGAGTACTGGACAGCTGTTTCGTCCTAGTTTGGGTGGGTGTGCACTGATGAAGAGTCCAAAACTAGGACGAAACTGCTGTCCAGTACTCCCAGCTGGTTTTTCAATGGTTCTCTAACTGATGTCAGCTCATGATGGAATCCTCCAATAAATCAAACAAAATCTCTACAAAAAAACCAATACCTGAAGAATAAAGAAATCTATTTTTTATTTATTTACTTAGAAATACACGGAGAACCATAGAAAAAATAAGATTAATAATGAAAATGACAAAAATAACGAGGAAAATAAAACAGAATTCAAAGCCTCTGTATACTGTCGGATAAAGAAGTAAACAACGTCGTTAGAGGTCTTACGTAGGATTCTCAATGAGGCTAGAATTAGCTACAATGGTATATAAACCGACCAACCAACCCACTCACTGACTCAGAGATAAACACTGTCAGCTTAAGAACCCGATAGATCCAATTAAGAAAGACAACATAATTAACCAAGTACCAACGTGTAACTCCATATTAGTTTGTTTATTAGATATATCACATAGTGAGTGAAACAGTATTATTTACTGGATGACGTTTCGAACATAATTCATCATTGTTCATAATCATATCAATTATAATTACACGACTTCGAAACTTGAGTTCTATAGTTTTTTTGTTCTCTCTTATTTTTCCTAGGGGTGGTAGAATTTTCCAGATATCGGGGACAGGTGTTGAATCATTTCTATTACACGTATTTGCAGCTGATTCGATAAACAAAGCTTCTCTTATCAATCTCTCCCTAAACCCTGTGACATTAGATTTTAGAACTGTCATCCTATCCCATTCCATCTTATCGTATGGTTGTGTGTAATCGCATGTGGTATAGTGTAGTGCTATAGCTGAACTATTCTCTAAATTTCTTATCTCATTCGGGTCAACTAATCTAGATTTTGCCAGTCTGACTAACCCCGTTCTACTACTTTGACCTAACTGACGATCTTTCCAGCAGGGCATTAAATAAACTAAATTGTTTTATTTAATTGGTTACACAGGATCCTCTAACCGACAAAGCTTGTTTCTAATTGACTTGTGGGTTTAAATGCCAGCCACTTTTATTCCTGCCTGCATTGTTAAGAATTCGCCTTAAGGTTTCCGAGGTCGCTTCTTTGTATGGAAGTACTACTGATGACTTATATTCCCTGTTGCGTTGGTGTTGTCATTATCCTGTGCGTTTTTGACATGCACGTCGTCATTAATATTCTTATTATTATCATCACTATCACTACTGTCATTATCTATTTTATTTTTACGTTTCCCTACATACTTTCTGACTAATTTATCAGGGTAATTATTAAGTTTCAAGGCATCTCTTATGTGCTTCACTTCCTGTCTTAGATTTTTCTTGGTACTACTTAGTTTTTGTGCTCTATTACTTAAACACTTCATCATTCCTATTTTTACTGGGTTTCCTGTAAACACTAGTGTTCAACTCCCCATCTTTTTTTTCCTTTTTACGCTACAATCTAACACTGGAAGCTCCCCTTTTGAGTGACTTTCCAATTCATAAGTGAATTGAATTGCCTCCACCTTTGAGTTAAGAAAACTATAAAACTCAAGTTTTGAAGTCGTCTGATTATAACTGATGATATGATTATGAACAATGATGAATTGTGTTCGAAACTGTGTCATCCAGTAAATAATAATACTGTTTCACTCACTGTTATATATCTAACAAACAAACTAATATGGAATTACTTACTACCACAGTGCCCAAGTTTTACATATATACCAAAGTGTAATGACTGTGAGTGACGTCAATTACATATGTCAAACTAGTAGTAGATCGGGGTCAATTAGATTATTGAAACATAAAAATCTAGCTAGACGTAGAATGGTTGACCCTGATAAGTAGAATAACCTAGAAAACAGAGCTCATTCATTGCACTGCATTGCATTCCCTTGCATATAATCACACAATACGAGGTGGGTGGGACAGGCTGAGAGTATTAAAATGTGAAATGGTTAGGTGGAGTGAGAGAGAGAGAGAGGCTAATCACTGATTCTTCAAGTGTTGGTTTATAGGGATTTGATTGGTTACAGGATTTCATCATGAGCTGACATTAGTTAGAGAACCATTGGAAAACCTGGGAGTACTGGACAGCTGTTTCGTCCTAGGGAGGTAGGTAGTTACCTGGGGTTCTAGTGAGAAGTCGTGACCAGTAGGGTGCAGCAGGTCGGGTGTGAGGACAAATACTCGCCGAAGACATTGGCTAGGGGTCGCGCTATGTCGTGAATTGGCAGAAGTTAGAATTCATGGGCCATTGGATCGGGTCCCAGTGGCTCAATGGTCTACGAGCTAGTCCGCCTTGTAACCAGAAGGTCCTGGGTTCGAACCCCAGTGCAGGAGGTGCGTACTGATGAAGAGTCCCAAACTGGGACGAAACAGTTGTCCAGTACTCCCAGGTTTTCCAATGGTTCTCTAACTAATGTCAGCTCATGATGAAACACTGAATCTTCGCCTATCGATTTAACGCCGAACACGTGCAGTCCAAAATGACGCAACGCTTATACCGAAGATCTGGAAAGTGTCAACAAACAACAAATAAGGGAGAAACAATCTGAGAAGTCACATGAGTACTATACATCGATATGATTATAACCAATAACTTAACCAAATAACCAACTTGTCATCCAGTTGTTAATACTGCATCATCACTGTGTGTGTGATATTTAATAAATAAACTCATCTAATATGAAATATCTTCTAGCAACGAACAATAAATTTCAAAAGTACAATTCACTCATGCAAACATATTCATACTTGAAAACAAAAACTGGAATACATAAGAAGACAATTTATTTCAGTGAAAGAAAACAAATTAAACTATGTACACAATAATAATAATAATAATAATAATAATAATAATAATCACAATTTCAATTTTAATAATGAGATGGTGGAGCAAAATCTGAAACGCGTTTCTCGCGTTCTTCTTGTATATAACGTTGAGCTGAAATCATTGATTTCCCCCGATCCCATTCTCTTTGTTTACTGCCAGGTGTGTGTGTACGACTTGGATCTTGTGAAGCTAATACATCGGCTAGATTTGTTCTACACTGAGGTTCCTTAACTTCTACAGCCGGAGGAACATTGTTGCCTAACGATTCATTCAATCGACTATTATTCATCAGAGTCCTTTGTTCAGCTTCATCACGTAATCGACGCAGCATAGAAGCAACATCTAAATCATCATTACTTAACCGTATGTCAGATTGAGCATCTGGACCTAGTGGAGTAGGTGTAGCGGCGGCTGGAACTACAGCTTCGCCTAAACACTGAGCAGCAGCTGTCGCGACGTCAGGTAGGCCTTTACGAGCACGTAGACGAGCAAGACGTTGACCCATTTTAGCATCACGTTTCGCCCGGATAGCTTCAGCTCTAGCTCTACCCTCCTCTGTGGCTCGATGAAGTTCTCGTAGACGATTCATTTCAGCTTCACGTTTTTCAGCATCCGCAGAGAAAGCATAAAAGCCAACACCATGATCACGAATTTCACCTTCTCTTAAATGAGCATAAGTGAGTGGACCATCGGGCTGTCTAGATGGACTG